CAAACTTGTTCTGTTGTTGTCGTATAGCGACAATGCCGCCAGCAAGGTGGATTAAGGCGATAGCAGCGATAAAAAACCTAACTAAAATTTAAAAAAATAGACAATACTAAGAGAGCAGCAATAGGTTGCTGACCACTTTCTGCTATATCTGTGTGTAGCTATGTATTTTTTTGTGTTGTTGCTCTGTCGTAGCCTCGGCTGCAACACCTTTTATATCACACCAAAAAACAACAAAAGTTCAGAAAACAAATAAATCTTTTCGCACTTAACTTCGGTGGCAATTGAAATTTAACAATTTCAAGCATTTTTACCATTTTTCACATGCCTGATATATTTGCTTATTTGATTGTTGTGGTTTGGTGTGTAACTGCAATTGTGTACGACTACTGATTTGCCGATAATATAGTTTGCCTATTATTCTCCAGCGTTTCTCAACATTTAATTTTTATACTCTCACAACTTGTTGTTACAAAGTATAATAGTTTTGTTCTCTTAACGGTAGTTTGTATCAACTAAAACTAATCGAGTTAGGTGTATTGTTATGGATATAAATGATCAGGATGAAGAGACGGGTTGAAATCCGGGTGACTGCAAGCTGTAACTTGAGTAAAAATTGAGATATCTTTATCCTTAATCAAAAAGAAATAAATTGCTACACAATAAAATACAAGACTGTTATTTGGTATGCAGGTTCACATTAAAGAGGAGCATCAGCAGTTTAAACTTTTTGAAAAAAGTGGTCGTGGTCTCGCCTCCTAATAGGTTTAATGTGCATAAAACTCCTAAACCGATAAAGCTATAAGAACAAAATTCACTGAGAATAAATATTTTTAGCACTTCTATCGACAGTGTGAAGATGGATGAAATCGACCCACTCCCCATATAACGGTACTGTTAAAAACTACTAAAAGCGCGATAAATTAAGAAATAAACACGCCAGAGACTTTAAATTTTAACTCTGGGATGATATGAGATAACTTTATAGGAAGCGATCCCATATCTTGGTATCTGCTTAACCGATTTCAACCAAATTCGGTGCATAACGTTCTTTTCATATTCCTATGTCATAGTGCGAAAATGGGCTAAATCGGACTACAACCACGCCTATTTCAAATATAACACCATTTTCATTTCCATCTGATTCATTCACTTTCCACTATGCAAAGCAAGCAACAATGATTATATCGGGGTAAAACTTTGCGTGAATAATGTGTTTAAAGTATGCCCCTTGTGACCAAAAATTATATAAATCGAACCAAAATTGTTCAAGCCCCTAGATACTGAATTTGTAGACCCCAGTACATAGTTGACTTTTTACCGAAAATATCGGTCAGTATGTTTTAGTGTCTAATATGGGTTGAATCGGATCAATACTTCCTTTAATATACAATTTTGCCAACCCCTGACGTAATTTCTCTGCAAATTGCGAGAGTATAAAATGTTCGGTTACACCCGAACTTAGAACTTTCTTACTGGTTTTTGTTGTTTTTAATCACCCAAATCTCGATCTAGTGATCGCAACCCAATCGCCAACGAGTTTCAACTTAAAGCGATGTATTAGAGCAACCGAAAGGAGGCGCAAGGTCGACGCTCCTCCCCGTAGCCGCTCAAGGCGTAACAAGGTGTTAGAAAATTTATTGCCATCATTGATTGGCGTACACAGCGATTAACATATGCCAGAACATGGATGTGCAAATTGCAACTACAGGCGGTCGCAGTAGCAGCCACTGACACCAACTGAATGTTGCTGCAACATTTGCTGAAAATCGGGAAATTTATTAAATCCTTTTATTTGCTCTTATTTTCAGCATTTATCTTGCTGGCAATGAAGTGGCTGCTTACTGACTGGCTTGTTGGCAACATGCTACACCAACAGCAGGAGTAGTCGCGCGACATCAGCATTCCAGTTCCGTATACCGATTTGTCGAATTAATAAATAAATTCTCATATAAGGCAAACTAGTTTGTATTCAGCGTTCTGCCCTGACCGCGGGTGTTGTGGAAGCAAAGACTTGAGGAGCTTGCTCCAGCTTGTGTGCCGTTGTGACACTTCGCGCACTCTTAAATTCCAGCAGTTTTTTCCTGGGTTTTTGGTATTTTTTTACGCTTTTTTCATGCTAATGCCTGTGTATGTGACAGAAGAATTGAAATAATTAAAAATATGATGCTGCCCGTATTTCAAAGAATAAAAGGCGTAAGAGAGATTTCGAGGTTTTGCGATTGAAATCGAAACTCGTTATTAGACGAAATATGAACCGAGTTGTGTTTGGGTACCAAAACGAGTAATTTAGATTCACATTCGAAATGTTTGCTTTAAAGTCACCCCAACTATTAGCAGTTTATTCAATAAACGAGGCGAGAACGGTTTCGGACGGTATGGACAATTTTAAGAAATTTTTGGTACCAACTGTTGTTGTGTGCATTACTATTTCATCAGTTTCTCCTACAACATGTTGCTACAGAGTATGATAGTTTTGTTCACCTAAACTAAATCGAGATATTTAAAGAGCTATTTATATATAAATGATCAGGATGACGATTCTTGTTGAATTACGAGTAACTGTCTGTCTGCCCGTCTGTCCGTCCGTGCAAGCTTGAGTAAAAATTTAGAAATCGTGATGAAACTTGGTACACGAATTCCTTGGCACCCAAAGGAGTTGGTATTGCTGATGGGCAAAATCGGACCATTACAACGCGATAACTAAGATGCAAGACTGTTATTTGGTAATATGGATCGTAGAAAAAGCCGCATGAGATGTGGCCCCGTGCATACAGCGGACTTTTTACCAATAATATTGGTCAATGTATAAGATATAAAATTGAAATTCGGAGGGATTTCTTTTCTGCCAATAGTTTATCTGTATGTTAAAAATGGGTGGAGTTGGGTAAGTACTTCCCTAGTCTCCATATACCTAAATTATAAAGCATTTTGAACTTCCGGTTAGCTTTGTAATATTTCCTAACAATATAAACTGAACGTATAATATTGGATATAATGTAGTTTAATGCCGAAAATATTAAAAATCGGTCTACGAATTACCCCATTTTCGATTTTCGTTATTCTAACAACACTTATGCCGAATATATCGGTCTGTGTGTGAGTTATATACTTATAAATTTGCTTAAAAATATGATATGGAGTATACTCGAGCAAAGTCATATGTTGGTGCAATCTGGCCGGATCTTTTTCTGGCCCCTGCATACCCTATATATAGTGATTTCCGACTTTCCGCCTTTAAGGTTTAAGGCTGTCATATTTTAAAAAAATTAAGTGTACAAGCTTCCTATACAATAAATGGAATTGACCTATATTTTTTTGCAACCATTTTTATACCCTTGCAGCATGTTGCTACAGAGTATAATAGTTTTGTTCACCTAACGGTTGTGCGTATCACCTAAAACTAATCGAGATAGATATAGGGTTGTATATATCTAAATGAAAAGGATGACGAGACGAGTTGAAATTCGGGTGAGTGTCTGACTATCCGTCTGTCCGTCCATCCGTCTGTGTAAGCTGTAACTTAAGTAAAAATTTAGATATCTTGCGGAAACTTTGTACACATGTTTCTTGCCACTATAAAAAGTTTGGTATTGTAGATAGGCGTAATCGGACCACTGCCACGCCCACAAAACGCCATTAATCGAAAACTTGTAAAACGCCATAACTATGCACTAAATTAAGATATAGTATATCTGTAATTTGGTATAGAAGCTGATAAGCTAAATGTATATTTCTCCTAAACCATTCAAGCTATATAACCCAAAGTTGCACAGAATAAATATTTTTTACACTTCCTTTGGCAGTGTGAAAATGAAAGAAATCGGATTATAACCCCGCCCACTCCCAAAACGGTTTTGTTGAAAACTACTAAAAGTGCGATAAATCAATAACTAAATGCGTCAGACACATTAAATTTTATATCAGTAAAATCGAGTGAAAACTTTTTATAGCCCTCATACAACAAATCACAGAATTTTCAAACATCCGGTTGATTTAACTCCACACATGTTGGTAATGAAACTAAGGAAGTATTTTATTCTGTTAATAGTATGTTGTATTACCAAAAATAGATGGAAATCATAATATCCCAATCTCTCATATATCTAATATAAGATTTTCAAAGTTCCGGTTTGCCTTATGCAATATATATCAGTCAATATCTAAGATATTTTAGCAAAATTTATAATATATATATATATTGCTATATATATACATAAATTAAGCAATTAAATTAAGTAAATATTCTAGTTTAATTCGAGATGAAAATATGATTTTCGTATTTCATTAAGATTTATAAGTGAATTAATTTAAGTTTTAAAATATCAAAGGTTACAGCGTTCAATTGATTTATTTTAATCACGTTATTTCTCACACATACACGTGTATCAAGTTGATTTATCAATAAATTACGAGTAATTATCCTACTTTTACAGGTGTATATATTTTTAATTCAAGCTATGACATCACATTATTATTTTTTAATGGGGTGTTTATGTTTTCTGAAAATCTCGTTTTTTTCGAAATCAAAACACAGCAGAAATCAATGAGAGCATAATCAAGCTGTACTACTATAAAACTTTCTACCAACATTTTCTTCATGACTGGGAGTAACAAAACCACTGTTGAACATACATTTTCTGTAACTGGGGCAAATATACGCACGTGGACACATTAATATTTACACACATGGAAATGTCTTAGCGAAATATAAGTACTAATTGCATTATCCCTCGCTAATTTGGGGCCATTGTTTGCTAATAAAGTTCACTTTCGATACACCCATTCGGATAATCGCACCACCCGCGTAGCTCAGTGGGCCTTTCACCTGTTGGACAACAATACAACAGGTAATTAAAAGCAATATAAATATCTTTTATAACTATCTCTTAAGCAACACGAAAGAGGCTTGCTCAAAAACACTTTCTACGCAGCGGACATTTTCTGGGTTTGGGTTGGTTATGAAAATACGAGCCAAATGCAGATATTTCAATTAAACTTACCAATTTTATTGTTGTTGCTTGTTGAGAAACAAACAGCGTGCTGAGCGCCAGATGCTGAATGTTCCAGTAAACCGTTAGCTAATGTTACACTTTCTTTATATGCACACAGGAAACCTTATAACGCACAGATATATTTTCACTATCTATTAACTTAAACTCCAAACTTCAAACAAAATATTTCATTATTTCACTGATATAATGCCAGAAAAATAAGTGCAATGGACGAGCAATGAGCGGAATCTGCAATGAATAAGGGAAATGATATTATATTTTTAACTTCAAAAAGGGAACAATATGATGAAACATATAATAAATTTAAAAGGAGAAAAGTTAAGATTAATAAAAAAGTATACTACTCTCATTAAATAAACAATTTTTTTTGTACTGTACTGAACCAAAATAATATTTATTTTACGGGTAAGCTTGAAAGTTGGAAAATTAATTAAATGTAAAATGATATTTAATTTTAATTATTACAGCGAAAATTCAAAACAATATTTATTAAACTTGCTCTATGCAGCGCAAAGAACCATAAATTGGAGAAAGGAAGTTTATTATAATATTTCTAATACAAATAAGTGTAATTATAAAAGTTAAGAAAAAAAGCAACTTAAGCTGAGAAAAGAAATTCCACAAACAACGAATTTCTGCTACACCGATAATTATACAAAATACTTACTTGCCTACGAATAAAAATTTAGCTTATGACCAAGAAGCAGAAAATTCTGTATTCTGTAGTTAAACACAGTATTGTACATTAAATGCAGGAAATGACTGAAATTTATATATGTAAGTATAATAATAGAAGACGCCACCTGGGCTTTGCTGTGGCTAAGATATAATTATATTACAATATATTATATTATTTATCACGACGAATAAATACACGCCTCCAAGTACACAATCACAAACTTCAACGATTACACTCAAAAAACGATCACGAATCAATTGTAATGTGTTATGTGAGGCGTAATGTAAATCACCACCCTGCTTTAACTATAACTTACCGACTGTGCATAGTCGTTATAGTGTATAATGGTGCAGGAGGAGAACAGATGCGGGCGCGTCGCATGCCCTATGTCTAATCATATGGTAATACAAGTATTTTGTTCATCGAATGGGATTGGAAAATCGACGGTGATTTCCTAAAAGGGGCCTAGGTTAGAACCTTCTGCAGGAATAAACGAATAACTGCGCAATTTTTTATATTTTTCAGTGCTGTAGTTCGAACGTTCTGCGAGTACATAACGAAATAGATTTTCATTTTTATATATAAGAAAAAAAGGTAATGTAGATTCGTAGATTAATAAACACACTAGTCATTTATCAACAGCGGAACGTTCAGGTAACAAACACATTCACACACACACGCTTTGATTACTCATGAAAAATTTTGGACAAATGTAAAGACGATATAAATTTTAATTAAATGATAGTTATAATTTTTACCGGTTGAGCCCAAACAACCTTAATGAATGATCGAATTGCAAGGAAGCTACAATGTATTGGGATAACTTGTGGTATCAATTAACTACTACATGTTTGTAATGAATGGGTACACTACGATCAATTGCGGCGCAAGAAAAAATACTAAAATGACCAATTTCTTTCCTTTGGTAATTTATTATTAAGCTTCTTTCTTGACATTTGGTTTATTATTGATGTTTGTGTTTATGGAAGTAGCTCGTGAATTAACTGCACATTCCGATGTATTTGCAATGAGTCAGCTACCACTCCATTTTATGTAACTGTATGTGGAGTTCTGTATGTCCATTGCTGCACTCACCTCTCTTCACTAGGCTCTCTTCTACACATTTTCGTTAGAATCACCGTTTCCACGCCAATAAAACTTTCACTTGTCATTGCACTAATCATATTTCATTTATTCCCTATAATTTCTCCTACCGCAGGTCGAATAATTGAGGCATTTACTAATTTCGCCCATAATTGTAATCTTATCTGCTTGCGATATGGCTAAGTCATTGAAGCCCTCGTTATTGCAGCGATAAAAATACCTGATAGTGATGCTCATATTTATTGTTGTGTGTGGGTTATATGTGGTATACAGTGTTAACACTCTCCGTTGTGCACTCAAACGGATTGTTGTGTGTAGTTAGTATACCTCTCAATAGCACTTGTTCTTCCCCTTAGGACGCTAGCGATAAGCCAGACCATGACAATTCCACTTAGTTGGACGTCAGCTAGTTGAAGGACTAGGATATAATTACGTAATCAAGAAAACTGACATAAGTTTAGAGCTCTTTCAAATGAAATAGGTATTTTTACCAGAAAAAAAACCTTAAATTGGCAAGCGACCTTTTTGTTAGAATAGCTGAACTTTTTTAAGATACCTGTAATAAGTAAGGCTTCATTAAAATTAAAACATCTCAAATTTGGAATTTTCTCACAAATTCTTAAACGTTTGACATTGAAAAAAATTCCAGACAATATTAAAATTCTGTTCTAGTTAATTTGTTTTAGAGACCGACAACGGCTCGATTAAATTTTATTTACCGCAGCTCTGTATCTCAGTCTATTCATCCATTAGTCAGTGTAATCAAGTAATCAAGCTATCCAACATCAACTGTGAAAAGAGTCAGACAGCTCCTTGTTCATCCTCGTCATTTACAGCTTTTCCGGCTACTTTTTTCCGACGTTGCATGTCACCTCATGCCGTATTAAGTGAGTGTTGTCGCATGTTGCACGAATCATTTGCCGACTTCTTCATTTACACAAAATCTCGTTTTGCACACAATTTCGTTCGTTATCTGTTGGCGCGATCGACATGCTGAGTGTTTTGGCATCTGTTAGATAAACGTGATAATAAGATTGATAACAGTTTGATTGAATTTTCAATTCTCGCCTTTGCGGCATTGTTGATTTCCTTGTTTGAATAATTGCATGGGTGCCTAGCATCGGCGCAGCAATTTGCATTGGGCTTATGTGGTATCAATTGTTGAGTTTTATATATAATTTGTGGCACATCATTGCAGCAGGGCTACATTGCGTTTGTATTTGGTGGCAATCTCTCTTCGGCCCGATCTGGAAAGCAGCCGTCCAGTAGCACAAACCCTCTTTGCTGCCGGGTTTCCTAATTAAGTCAAGGTTTATTTATGCGCATTTGTTACAGCTGGCCTGATATTTTGCGTCTCACATTTCTTCTCAGTGCTCCAATTACACAATTCCACTGCCGTTAATGGTCGTGCTTTGTTGCACATTTCAGATTTCTTATATTTGTTATATAAATTTTTGTCATTTCATGCTTGAAATTTCTTTATGTTCTTATAATGTATGATACCTTCATCAACGCGTTGCTATTTTTGCTTTTCCTTTATATACTTTTATTTGCAACGTGAGTGTTTGCTGTTTATTACATACATATGTATGTATGTGTTTTTCGTGGAACAGAGTGAGCACGTCTACTGCTAATTTACGTACACGCTTAGTCTATCACATATCATATAGATATACATACATACATACATAAGTGTAAATAGCCCAACGTTCTGGAACGGTTGGGAGCAACTTGTTAGTTAGAGAATCCCTTTTATAGTCTTCACATTAAATGTTTTTGTAATTCCTCATAAGACTCAATTGTGTATTACATTCCGTCCCCGAAAAACGAAAACCAGATATCGAATATCAAATTTTTATTGAGTTTTGAAATTTTAGTAGAATAGAAAATTTTGTAAAAAATATCAATATAAATGCGGAATTGTTGGAATTGGCTTTGTGCTCCCAACATTTTCTATTGAATTGGCGTCGGGTCTTGGTTACTTTTGCAGTGAAGCATTTCAGCTGACTTCAGTTTTCAAAGGAAAAACGTTATTTTTGGGACGCACTGTATGTAACTCAAGAACGATTAGTCCAATTTTGCTGATATCTGTTTTATTGAATGGCAGAATGACTAATATATCGGAAACATTTACAGACTATAAACGAACCGGCATGCCAAAAACAAGAAAGAAAATATCAACAATTGGAGGATTGACTCTTAATTATTCCAAATTATTCAGTTCAACAAACATCTGGACCACAAGATTGACTAAACAGAATATATTAGAAATTTTCGAAACTTTCTATTGCCGCGATTTGTATGCAGGCTGTTAAGGGCGATAATGTAAATAGGGTTGTGCTGGCTGTGAATTATTAAAAAAGACATATAATGTATGTTACCTAAGACCCTTTAAACGAAGGTATGACCTTATATACTTGTATATAATATGTTCACCGCCTCAGCTAGAAGCTATACATATTTTCCATTTTCCATCTCACAAAATGCGCCATAGCAAAATTGTAATCTCTTTTTTCGGTGATTTTCATAAACAAAAACCAACAATTTTAAATTTGAATAAATTCGCTTATCTTTCAGTGAAATCACGATATAGCACAATTATATGTTGAAACCGTATATGAAATCAAATCAGACCAGAGTACACCTTCACTCCGCTGCACTAATAGTTTTCGCTTTCAATTTTTATGTGGATTTTCGAGCTGCACATTGTTACGCCAGAAGTGTCTACTGCAACGCGGCCGCAACGGTTGCTCGCCACTGCAATTTTCACCGTTAATATGCATAAAACATTTCAAAGGCGTTACTCAGTTCCAGTATAAACAATAGCCAGAGGACAACATTTTCCACCACTCTTTACTGGCATACAAACACTTAGCTGCCTCTGAGTTTTCTGCCTTCGTTTACTACGCCGTCATCCAATGCGGTGGATTTCAATTTTTCCTGGGCGCTTGGTGGCGAAGCAGTAATACGTCAATAACCATTTAGTATGCAATTTCAGACGTTTTATCAAAGCCAACAGCAACAAAAACATAACATCAACAATAGCACGCAGAGCCATTGATGACTGTTAGCGACGGTGGTTGAGGAGGAGCTGTTGTTGCTGATGGTAATTGCGTAAAACGTTGTTGGTTGAAACGGTAGACACAGTTATGGAGGCGGCAGTGGTGGTGGCAATTTGCCGCATACCGCAGACGCGCGCTCCAAGAAAACAAACTCATTGACAGGCGTGGATCAAAAGTAGCCAAACAAATGCTTTCCGAATGTTGCCATTTGCAGCTGGCGTTGACTTTAGACGGCATGCCACTTTGCATGCTCACACACATATACTTGTATAGACTTCATAAGCTCGACTGTGTCTGTGGCAACAAAGCAAATTTTATAAACCAGACCGTCGCTAGAGGTAGCGCCAACTTGTCTGTGAGTGTTGCACGCAGATTTGATTATT